TTCACAAATATATTTAATATGATTGAATAAATAAATAGTGTAGAAACGCCAAAAAGATTGGTATCTTAATGGATTTAAGGTAAAATTCTAAATTACAGACTTGTAAGAAAATAATTAAAAAATTAACGCAAATAGTCGTTCATCCAACCACTTAAACTAAAAGTAACTGGTAGAGGTATAATATATTCATAATTTATATATTGTATATGTATACTTGTGTATAATCAATGTATATGGCTAGAATATTACTGGTAATCATAAAAAAAATAAAACAAAATGTACGTGAGTAGAAGGACAGAATAAAACAGAAAATTATTCTATTTTAGGATAACGGAAGACTTACAGGGATGCTCTTTGGATAATTTCGTCGTAAACAATATTATATGTAGAATGGTCATCACGGTTGGCTAGTGTGGACGGCCGGATCAGCTCTTTGACGCAATTTGAACTCTTTGCTCTCGATAAGGCGACATAAAGTTGACTGTGAAAAAAAACAGGTTCTCGCAAATATATTCCAACGAAATTCAGAGTCTGACCTTACGCCTTATTTATAGTAATAGCATAGCATAATCTTATTGGGAATTGTGTTCTTTTAAAATGAATTGGTAATCTTTCATCTTGTGACAATAATAATGGTATTCTTGGAATAAATACGTGTTTATTTTTAAAATCGCCTGTGGTGATCTTAGCACTAATAACATGTGTCTTAATATCGCAGCATATCAATCGTGTGCCATTGCATAAACCTTCATATGGATTCAAGTTATGCAGCAATATAACGGGGCAGTTCTCCTTCAAAGTTAATTTATAAGGAGGTAAACCAGCAGGATTCAAAATGTGTAATAGATCTTCAAATTGACTTTGATCATTAGACTCAATTGTTTCGTCAATAGCAACAAATGTAGTTGGTTTTTCTGGAAATTTTGCTATAAGAATATCGTTGATTTCATTCACAAAATCATTCTTTGTCGTTAGGATAAAGCGAGAATCTGCCGAACAAGAATTAGAGGAGCATGCTTGTACATTTGAGAATGTCATAACGAATAAATGATCTAGAGATTTTTTTTCAGTTGTAAAAGGAATAACCAAAGAATCTGGAAGTTCAGTTTTGTTATTAGAATTTACCCTCTCTTGCCCATTTCTAATTCTCATCAAGTAATCACAAAAAGCAAGATCTGTTTTTGCCCGATCATATTCTCAGATAGCTGCAATTTTTCAAGTTCGTCCCAAATGGTAAAATATAGTAAACTTTCACTAATAAAATCTTTTTTTTTCCCGTTTCGAACAACTGGAAGAGTTTGTCTAAAGTCACTTCCAAAAACAACCACTTTTCCCCCAAATAGAATATTTGTATCCATAAGATCTTTTAAGAGCAAGTCAAAAACATCAAGCATTCTTTTTTTAGCCATAGACACTTCATCTCACGAATCAGACCTGCAATTGAGCTTTGTTTGTTGATATTACAGCTGAAATTTTCATCAATGTCTATAGGTATTTTAAAACGTGAATGTGCAGTTCGCCCATCTGAAAGAATCGAAGCAGCAACGCCAGAAGTGGCAGTTGCTAGAGCTATCCTTTACTACATGCGGTCTCTAATAAGGCACGATATAAGAAAGTTTTTCCAATTCCTCCTGGACCATCAATTAAAAAAACTCCTGGTTTCTTGAAAAATACTCGGTCAATAATCACATTGTATGCTTTCAATTGTTTTGCATTCAGTTTTTTGTGTAACAGTACATCCTCTTCACTAACCGTGATGGTTCTTTCAAAGAATACCTCCTTTGCTTCTTTTTCCAATATAGATGGTCAAACTGTTTCTGGGATAAGCTCATATTCGTTTATGTTAAGACCCATAGAGTGTAAAATATCATTAATCTGATTTAAAACTTGATATTGAATATCTTTTCTTTCAACATTAGGTAACACTCAGTAATCTTCTAACATTGATTCTTCAAATTGTTTCCATATTTCTTTTGGATTGGTCGGATTACAATACACTAATAATGTAGCAAATAAACGTCTTAAACTATATGGCATTTGGTAATTTGCTACCTCTGACGTACAATCAATTAAACTGTTATCACAGTGTAATAGTCCCCTTTTTTCTGCGGATTCTCTAAAAGTATCATAATGTTCCCCATTTATAGTTCGAAGTTCTTTATATGATTTCGGTCCCCTCACATTCAGAAAAAGTATTCTCAGATAATATCGTTCTCCTTCAATTGGGTGGCACGTTACGATACGGCCAACGGCGCAACGTTGTTATCGTCGTGTGCATGTTTTGTCTGTTGTTGACCATACAAAATGTTCAGGAAATTCTTTGTATAATAAGTTAAGCTTTATGGCATCTTTGTTAGTTCTGTTCATTTGAAAAAATTCTATCAGCATTGTTTTCTTAATCATAGGATTATTAACGATTGTGTTTATATCTGTATTGTCTTTAAAAGAAACAAGTTGTTGCCTTTTAAGATGTAGCTGAAGATGATAAACGCTTGGATACATCTCACTAATAGAGAAACCAAATAAACGTCATGCACCTTCAGGTGGTGATACCCATGTACATAAAATGTAATTTTGTCATGTACTTTACAAATATATTTGTAAAGATATTTAACAACCTTTATATCAGAACAAACCTCAACGTTCATATGACAGTTGAAATTACCAAGTAAAAAAGGATTGTATGGAACAACCCAAGAGTTATCTAAATACTTCTCTCATACTTTCACAACCTCTCTTGTGTTTCGTCTTTTATAGATGGGATAAGAATCACTTCCTTTTAATGTCAGTTCAGCAAAATAATTTGAATAATTAAACTTACAAAGACAATTCTTTTTTCATACAGGAATTTGTTGGATTCAGATTACCATATGGACCGTGCATCATATGTTTAAGAACAAGCTAACGTAATTTTTTTTATCCAAATTAGCATCTAGTAATTCAGCACTAATAACTCTATCATAAGCCTCCGATGTCAATAACTTATATTCATTAGCTAATATTATAAGGAAATGAGCATGTGATAAACCTCATTTTTGGAATTCAACAATATACATATAAGCAACAACTTTTTCAAAGATATTTCTCGTGCTTATATCAATTTTCAGTTCTTCAACTTTAGCCCTGAATACTCGCCGTGCAGCGGTTTATATCTGTTATGTTACAGTTCTTATTCATTTGACTCTATATTAACGCTAGCTCATATGCAACTTCAAGTAATATTCTAGACATTGTTTTACGCTATTAGGGTTTCAATATTTTATATTAATTAGGTGTATATTTATATTACAATTGGTTTTAATTAGTTAACATAATATAATAAGCATTGTAATATATAACAATTTATTTTATAAAAAGTTAATTCTTCAATAATTGAGAACAAGTATATCTATAAAAAAAAAATGTAAGTAACTTATTTATATTGCATATATTTGAAAGAAATAAGAAAAGATTAAAGAAAAATATGCATCAAATTTTTTAAATCGATTAAAATTAAAAATATGCCACTTAAAATGGATAGTTAACTGTCATAATTCTAGAAAGCTAACATGTTACTCCTGCATTGCATATGATATATTTGCTACAATTGTTGCTCCGAGATATTTTAGAAAATAGTTTTTTGATTTGGATGAGTAGAATAAATGATCTCAGTAATACGTCTAATCTAAATTTGGTAATCTCAAAACTGAAACGATAAATATTTATAGGATTTATCACAAAGTTTAACCAATTTGTTCCACATAAATTCGATAAATCATGTTTAAGAAGTACTTGGTGAAACTGGAAAAAACACAATCTTCATTCCTTTTTTTTTTTTCATTTTTTAGGTTTTGTATGTGCATCTTCGTATGTGCCTGAAAGAACAAAAGTACTTATGTCTCCAACATTGATGTTTAAATGAAGAAAAATATCGAAGGGCATGTAACTGTACTAGACCAAAAGGAAATGGAAGTGAGAATTAAGAAATTATCGAAAATTTATATATTGCAATGTGGCATTGGCATTTCACTCCTTTGAGCAAAAGTTCATCAAGATATTAACTTTGTGCACAGAGGCGAACAGGAATTGAAATTTGTGGGTTTTGAATTTACACTAAACTTATAACTCGTTTAGTTATTGGGTTCGCTATTAAATATTTATACATATTAATAAATTTTCTAATAAAAAAATAAGATCTAAACAAAAGCGATTGAGTTCTTCTAAACATGTAAAAATACACTACCTCCGCCCCTATTTGTGCATTTAAAGGTGTGATCTAGTGATCAATGTTGCACTAAAAATCTAAGATCTCAGGTTTAAATTTCAATGAAGATAAAAAATACCAAGTGGAAATCTTTTCTTTCTATATATTCAATCCATGGTGAAAAAGGTTATTCAATACCTGTACTGACGGAGTAACATGTACTTCATAAAATTAGTCGAGATGTGAATAAATTGCTCCAGACATGACAGTTGTAAAAGAAGAATTGTTATACAAATAGCTGGCTAGATTCACTATTTACCTTTTTAGGCCGATATACATAAATTATACATCGATTACACAAAATTGTATACGTATTACAAACGAATTATACATATATTATTCAATACGTCGGCTATTTTTAATTTAAAAGATTAAGTGGGCTACTATTTGGGTTAATATTCTCCGCCAAACTTGATGCAACGTTTTGCTTTTTGTTAACATCGACCCTTCATGTTTTCACAGTGTTCACTTATCACCAGTGGCGGACCCAGAATTTTTACCAAGCGGGTTCAAAATGCAAAGAAGTAAATTTACAAAGACAGCGAGAAGCAGCATTGCGTAGAGGCAACGGAGATGGCTGTGGAAGCAATGTGACTTTGAACTTAGAAGTGAAAGATTCAGCCTAAGAAAGAAGCAAAGGGTTTGGGAATTATTTATAATTTCAGATTTTTTTTTATTCTATTAGGGAAAAAGTTAAAATGGTGTAGTTTTCTTTTCCTAAATTATACTTATATGGAAAAGGCTTTTCTAGTGTAAATAANTATATATACTAGATGGGATTGGCCCGGACATAAGACCTATTACAAGAACAATAGCAGACAGCAGAAAGACAGTAGTCATTCCTTGCTCAGTCCCTTTTCACAGCTTCGAGTCACATTATCCAGTAGTTCCTCATTCCAAAGTCTATCTGCCTACTGCTTGAACAACATTCTATAGGTTTAGTCCTGCAACAATGATTAGTCAAGAATGATGTAAAACATTATATTCAGTAGTTATGGTTCCTTTAGATATTTGCAGCAGATAACTTTTTATAGTTTTAGATTCAAGAATAGTTTTATTCTTGTTTGGCTATGTTTTGTCCGGTGAACCAATTAATAATGAATTAGGAACCAATCAGATGAGTAAGCTATTAAAACGGAGCCAGGCGCATTGTTGTCTTAGTTATTCAATAAGAAATATTAAAAGTTGATGTTTTGTCTGGTGAAGCAATTATTGAATTAGGAACCAATCAGATGAGTAAGCTCTCTGTAGCATCTGTATTCTCTTATTAGTAAAAGTAAACTAACTCAAAGAGAAGCACATCGCAAGCAAAAGAGTATAATTTGGTGAAAGCAATCAAGCCAAAGCAAATATGCCTTGCCACAGATCCTCCAAATCAAACCAACTGTACCAACCATTTTTAGTGAACATATTGTTGCAATACTAATCTTTTTTAGATAAATTAAGAGTGACTGAAAATTTTACTCAAAACAGTCTTTAAAATTGATTGGTAATATCACTGGAGTATTTTAAAAAAAATACATATATCAAGTGACTGAGCGCTAACACACAGCTAGACGCACAAAAATTGAAGTTACCACTCAGATAGTTGCTGCATAATATGTTTGGATAGTGCTCATAAATAAGTTCATTCTGAAATGAACAGCGAATTATCAAGAAAGTGTGAAAGCATGTGATTGGAACACTCACAATTGATATTTATGACAACTAAAAGAATCATGTCTTTATTTGGGTGAAAAAGGACTGTCGATTTTGTTCATGTGATGTATGAGCTTTCATTTCCTCTCTTTCTTTGTCTCTAAATTGAGCAAAGCTCAAAGTTTTTCCTTCCAATCACTTTCTTTTCTTTTAGTCCAAAAATAACGTTTGTTGTTCAAACAAAATCAAATAGATATATTGAGTTTAGCATTACCTCTCAGCTGATAAATGCGAGGACAAGCATTTGCTATAGTCAACAAGACATGAGAGTTTAAGCAGAAGTCATTCTACTCATACCGACAGTTTCCTTCCTCCCTCTTATCATACAAGCCAGTAAACCTTCAGTTTCTACAAGTGCAGAAAAGCATTTCTTCAACAAATATCAACATCATAGCAAACACCAACATTTACCATAGAATTGAACAAACTCTCGAAAGACTTTGTGTTTCCTCTGAGAAGAAACTTTATATTTTTGTTGATCAAGTATGTGCAGGTAGCATCAGATGACTTCAGGCAAATGATTGTACTCTTTACAGAACCCAGCGGCTTTGGTATGTTGTAAAGCTAGAGTAATTGGCAACGTAACTTTTGACCAATCCAATTGAAAGAATACCTGCACTTACAGAGATGTCAAATTTATAAACCATAATCTAACAGAAAAAGTTTCCACTAAATAACAAAGATGAGGATGTTGAGAGAAACAGATGTACTCTTTGTCTCACTCACTCTTTCTGTTTTCTTTATTATATCCAAATGCAGCTAAACTGTACTGTAAGTAATCTTGGAATTAAACTCTATTATAAGCAGAGTAGTTGAAACATTTTTTTAAACATAAAACATTGTCAAGCTGATATTATGAAATTACGAGCAGACTTTGTTACATCAGCAGACAGAACTTCACTAAAATGAGCACATCTGAGTTTCTAAAAACTATCACTGTACCATAAAAATCATAAACAATCAAATTTACCAAAGTTATGAATCGACAAAAGAGACAATTTACAATATCACAACTACCAAAATGACCTTCATAAAATAACCAAAATTTCCAGCACCCATTACCCCAAAATGGATTTAGGAAACTCAAGTTGGAATGAAGAAGCGAACACCAGTTTCAGAATCCAATTTCAACAACCACTTTGATCTTCCCTTTAACAAAATTGTCTTTTCATTTCTTATTATTTTAATGACAACCCAATTGACAAAAAATCATTCTCTCTTGTTTGCAAGTCCTTTTATGCTGTTGAATCTCATCATGCGAAAATCTCGAAACCCCTAAGATCAGAACAGTTGACAAAGATTCTCATGAGAACTCTTGATATTTTCCTCTGCCCTAGAATCAGTGTCTCCACCCAAAAAGGGAAAAAAACAACAACAACAACAACGACGACCCAGCAAAATCTCACTAGTGGGGTTTGGGGAGGGTAGTGTGTACGCAGACTTTACCCCTACCCGAGGGGTAGAGAGGTTGTTTCCGAAAGGCTCTCGGCTCAAGAAGAAGAAAAGAAAAAAAAAGAAGAGAAGAGAAAACAGACAATATCAGTACCACCAACAGATACCATAAGAAAAAATTAATAACATCATGAAAGCCAAAAAATAGGTGCAGAGCAAAAGCGATAACCATTAAATAGAGTCGGCTCTATGAAAAACGAAATAGTAAGACACAACATTGCCACTAGCTGTCTCAGACAAAAACCCTACCAAGCTAGCCTCACAAATGTATGAACTAAGGAAAGACTCAACTACCTCCTAACCTACAACCCTAATACTCGACCTCCACAACTCCCTATCAAGGGCCATGTCCTCGGAAATCTTAAGCCTTGCCATGTCCTGCCTGATTACCTCTCCCCAATACTTCTTAGGCCGTCCTCTACCTCTTCTCGAGCCTTCCAAGGTCAGCCGCTCACACCTCCTTACCGGAGCGTCTGGACTTCTACTCTGAACGTGCCCGAACCATCTAAGTCTCGCTTCCCGCATCTTGTTATCAATGGGAGTCACGCTCACATTCTCCCGAATATCATTATTCCTAATCTTATTCTTCCTAATGTACCCGCACATCCACCTCAACATCCTCATCTCTGCTACTTTCATTTTCTGGATATGTGAATTCTTAACAGGCCAACACTCAGCCCCATACATCATGGCCGGTCTAACAACCGCTCTATAAAACTTACCTTTGAGTATCGGTGGCACTTTCTTGTCACACAGAACTCCAGATGCTAACCTCCACTTCATCCACCCCACTCCAATACGATGTGTGACATCCTCGTCGATCTCCCCTCTCCCTTGGATAACCGACCCAAGGTACTTGAAACTGCCTCTACTCGGGATGACCTGTGATTCAAGCCTCACATCCACGTCCACTTCCTTCGACTCAGCGCTGAACTTGCACTCCAGGTATTCCGTCTTTGTCCTGCTCAGCTTGTCTCCAGGCCTCGAGCCTCTCGTTAACACCAGCTCGCGACTCATCAATCAGAACTATATCATCAGCGAATAACATACACCATGGCACCTCCCCTTGAATATGATGTGTTAACGCGTCATCACCGGGGCAAATAAAAACGGGCTGAGCGCAGAACCTTGGTGCAATCCCATAACAATCGGGAAATGCGCAGAGTCGCCTCCTACTGTCCTAACCCGAGTCTTAGCCCCATCATACATGTCCTTAATCGCCCTAATGTAGGCAACCGGCACACCTTTAGCCTTCAGGCATCTCCAGAAAACTTCTCTAGGAACCTTGTCATACGCTTTCTCCGGATCAATAAACACCATGTGCAGATCCTTCATCCTCTCCCTATACTGTTCCACCAGTCTCCTAATAAGGTGTATAGCTTCCGTAGTAGAACGACCCGGCATGAACCCAAACTGGTTGTCGGATATAGACACTGACCTACTCACCCTTGCTTCAACCACCCTCTCCCAAACTTTCATGGTATGGCTCAGTAATTTGATACCCCTGTAATTGTTACAACTCTGGATATCACCTTTGTTCTTATACAACGGAACCACCGTACTTCACTTCCACTCATCCGGCATCCTCTTCGTCCTAAAAATAACACGAAACAGCCTCGTCAGCCACTCCAAGCCTGCTCTACCCACACACTTCCAAAATTCAACCGGAATTTCGTCCGGCCCGCTCGCTCTGCCCCTGCTCATCTTACGCATAGCTTCCAAGACCTCCTCAACCTCGATGCGCCTGCAGTACCCAAAGTCACGGTGACTCTCGGGATGCTCCAGTTCACCTAGCATAATATCTCGATCCCCTTTTTCATTAAGAAGTTTATGAAAGTAAGTCTGACATCTCCTCTTAATCTGGGCATCTTCCATCAATACTCTACCATCTTCGTCCTTGATGCATCTCACTTGATCCAAATCCCGAGCCTTCCTCTCTCTCGTCTTGGCCAGCCGGAATAACTTCTTCTCCCCGCCTTTCTCCCCCAGTTCCTCGTACATACGACCATAAGCCGCAATCTTAGCCTCTGTGACCGCCAGCTTAGCTTCCTTCCTAGCTACCTTATACCTCTCCATGTAGGCTTGCCTCAGCTCCTCACTTATGCTCCCTACTAACTTCAGGTACACCGCCTTCTTCGCTTCCACTTTACCTTGGACCACTTCATTCCACCACCAGTCTCCTTTGTGCCCTCCAGAGACACCCGCCGAGACCCCTAACACCTCTCTCGCAACCTCCCTTATATAGTCTGATGTCGTTGACCACATAGTGCTCGCGTCCCCACTACTCCTCCAGGCTCCCATAGCCGACATAGAGTTTCAGAGAAGGCAAATTGGAGTACAAAATAAGACCCTTATGCAGAATTACCAAGGCAAAATTGTAAATGGAAGAAAGGAAAAAAATTGTAGAAAATGTAAACTGACCAGTTCACGGGTGTAGCAGCGAAAAACCCAACAGCTGACCAAAGTTATGATTTATTTCCCCCTCAACTAGAAACAAAGATAGTACTGAACAGAGGAATATAAAAGCAGAACAACTACGGGAAAACAAAGATTAAAACGGGAAACCCACAAAGCTTTGAAGATAAGAACAAAGGAGTGAGGAAGTAGGAGGAGAGTTTCAGAAACGGTGGAAGTTTACTGAGTTGCTACTTTATTCTATCAGTCTAAAGCTAAATTCTTCAATCTAATATCTTATCTTTTCATATCTTGATAAGGTGCCTTGAATATTTCATTTCATAACTCTTGCTTTATGTAAGTATTTCAGTATCTACAAATTAGATTTACATTTAAATACTTAGTAACCAGAGACAGAAGTAAAAATCAATAAAAAAGATATACAATTATCCGTGTAAGGAACAGTAAAATTAAAGAGAAGGTAGAAATAAAATGAAAAAGACTAGCAAGTGATTCGAAAAGGTATAATGACAAGGGAAATTGGAAGAGGAGGTGAGCAATGCTGGAAATTTTGAATAAGAAAATGCAGACTGTGCAAATCGGGAGGAAACAGAGTGTAGATGAGATGTTCGTTTGAGCGGTGTAAAGCAACGTGTCAAAACTAAAGTAGGGTTAACACGTGACTTTTGCCAAAATATTTGCAGTTTTCCCAAAATACCCCCGGACGACCCCAATACACATGGTAATTAAATGGTCATGGGTTCAGAAAGCGGGCTATTACAGGTGCTGAAAGTAACACAACGCAAAGTGTGAAAATAATTCAGTTTGCAGAATGGTTTCACTGTTGAAATAATGTCCATAGAAAGAAAAAGAAAAACAGAAAGCTACCCAGTCAGTTAACTTAGCAAGTTCTCTCATTCCTTCGGTATGGTATTATCTCAAAAAGCATAGAGGCCAAATGTCTTCTTTGTCTCAGTTTCTGATATTATGAAAAACATATCACAGCGCAGAAGAATTGTGAAACTTACATAGAGATAGGAGTCAAGGTTGAAAAGAAAGAAATTGCAGAGAAAAGTGATAAATAAAGCTGGCAAATTTTAGATGTGCTAGCTGTTAGTTATAACATAATATGAGTTTTACTCTTGATGCAATTTTAGAACATGATCGATGATGCCAAAGTCCTGCCTCCAGAGTCCTTTGGACATGGAATCTTGGCCTTGGTCAAGGTCAAATTTGTGGCTTAGTTTGAAAATGACCTAACATTGAGATTTGAGACAAGGCTGAACTCTAGGAAGATTGATAATGGTTACTCAATTTCAGACCTTTGCTTTTCTTTGTTTTTGTAATGCAGGGTCTGCATTAAATACACACTGTGAGAGCAACATGTGTGACAAAATTGCTTGGCCTCATTGAGCCTGCTAAATTTGGCATCTATCCATTATATTGTTAGATGTGTATTTTAGTCATTCCTGAAACAGGGAAAAAGGAGGATAGTACATGCCCCAGAAAGCAAAAGGGAACTGCACTAATATTTGGCCATAAGTTGAAATAGATATAGCTGTCTCTCTGTGAATTTCATGAATGATATTCTGGCAATGTTTACAGCGGTGGTAATATATTGAATAGGGCAATAGATATGATGAGAGCAGGGGGGATTTTAGTGCAGAAATAGTGTGCATAAGGTAGACTGACATGAATGAGAAGGATGTGTCTGCAGTTGGAAGGAAGAATAAAAAGACAGATCCACCACTAGAACCTCTGTCACACTTTTTAAAGTTTTACCTCACAAAACTAATGACGCACGTTTGGTTTCTTTCTTCTTTCAACCCCACATTTGGTTTCTCTCTTCTTATCTTTGTTGTGCGAATCTACTTTTGGTTCCTGTTTTCTTTCTAATGTGAGTCTACTTTTGTTTCCTATAGCTTTCCTTGTTTGCTTCCCCATCTCCCTTTTCAGCTCAAGGAAACGGTGAAAAGATGGTTGTGGTAGAACTCACATTTGATGTAGACGTCCAAAAAAGAACTCACATTTGATGCAAAAAATCCGCAGCAGTTGTTCTATTCTGACCATGACATCCACTGTGCTTACACACTACCATCCAGGATAGTTATAGTTGAATTACAGAAAATTATCGGCAAGAAAAACCTGAACCAAAAGATTGTGCAGATAGAGAGAACCTGGACCACATGATTCTGCCAATAGAGAGCTCTAGAATAGAATTGACAAGTTGATGCTGCTGTTTTTCCAATGCGACTTCCCTTTATTCTTGATGATAGAATGATTTTTGTTGGACTTCATATTGTTGAAGTTTTCCCAGAATATAACAAAATGTAGGAGTTGTGTACAATATTTTCTTTCCTGAAGTAAGTATCAATCTAATGAGAATATTTGAGCTGTAACACAGTTTCTTATTTTCTATTAGAGAACTTTATTTCTTTTCATGGTGCAGTAACTAATAAGATATTGAAGTATTGCCATAAAAACCAATATACTAGCTCATATTAACAAGACTGCTAATGCTATAGATGCAGGAAAATACATCTATATTGTCAAATAACATTGAAACAAGAAAATAAAAAGCAATGGGCAAAATGGTACAAAGATGCTACTCTAACTTAGTCATTTATGTTATTAACTGATTTTCTTAATAAAATTACAAAAATCATGAAAGATATTTTGAATTAAAGATAACGTTACACAAATTGTTGGGCCCGTGCTACACGGTCCAACTGTATCTAGTATTGTTATAAGCAAAGAAAGTCTGATCGAACTGCTATAGATTGAAAGCGTAACTGTCAGACGCCTCACAAAGAGAGAATGAGCAGTCAACAGTTTCCTATCTCCACAGATTTCCATCATAAGATTATCCACTAAGAAATAGGAGACAGAGATAACGTATTGCTCGCTAGGACTCAAGAGAGAAAGCTGCAAATCAACTTGCTCAGATTAAAAGCCAACAATTTCAATAATGAAATTAAGAGAAAGCCCAAATAGGGATTGCATCCAACCTAAAGAGGAAGTTCCAATCTGACCCAGGTTACGAAATAAAAATGTGGAACAAGCTAACTTTATCGCACTAAACTACTCCACTAGAAATTAATCTCCAGACATACTACATAGAGCTCCGGATACCGACTGGATGTTGCGAATAGAGAATGAAACATTGCTGAAATCCTTCACATTCAAAACCAAAGCGAGATGATGCAAAACTTAAAGCAAACATAAATATCAACTACTTAATAGTACAACACTGACAATGAGCAAAGCCACGGAAAAACTAATAACAAACTAATAGACATAACATTTTTGGTTTAATAGAAGTTTATTTTAGATAATACAAGGCCTAGAACTAGCTCTGTAGCACCTCAAAGTCAATAGGAACTTCTCCCGTCACCCTCTGTGATCACATCTTTGAAAGCCCCGCCACTGGGAATCATAGGTAGAACATGTTCCTGATGAGGTACAATCACATCCAACAAGTATGGCCCAGGAGTGTCTAACATCTTTTGAATAGCCGCTCTAAGATCATCCCTGTGTGTCACTCTCGCAGCAGGTACGCCACAAGCCTCTGCAAATTTCAACATATTAGGAAAGATCTCCGCCTCATTAGAAGGATTCCCCAGGTATGTGTGTGCTCTGTTAGCCTTATAGAACCGATCCTCCCATTGAACCACCATTCCCAAGTGTTGATTATTCAGTAACATAATCTTAACTGGGAGATTCTCCACCTTAATAGTTGCTAGCTCCTGCACATTCATGATGAAACTGCCATCACCATCAATGTCAACCACAACTTCATCAGGTCTTCCAACAGCCGCACCAATAGCAGCGGGCAAACCAAATCCCATCGCTCCTAATCCACCAGATGTCAACCATTGGCGTGGCTTTCTGTACTTATAATATTGAGCAGCCCACATCTGGTGCTGCCCAACACCGGTACTTATAATAGCACTCCCATTAGTTAACTCATCTAGAACCTGGATAGCATATTGCGGAGGAATAGCATCACCAAAAGTTTTAAAATTCAACGGGTACTTCACTTTCTGCACCGTCAACTCCTGCCTCCAAGCAGAAAAATCCAACTTCAGTTTACCTTCCTTACTCTCCAATATCGAATTCAAACCCTGTAACGCCAACTTGATATCCGCACAAATGGAAACATGAGGCTGCTTGTTCTTTCCAATCTCAGCTGAATCAATATCAATGTGAACAATTTTCGCTCGGCTAGCAAAAGCTTCTAACTTTCCAGTAACTCTATCATCAAACCTCACCCCAAATGCGAGCAATAAATCACTACTGTCCACAGCATAATTAGCATAAACAGTACCATGCATACCCAACATTGAAAGGGAAAGCTCATCCCCAGTTGGAAAAGCTCCAAGACCCATCAAAGTACTTGCCACGGGGATACCGGTGAGCTCCACGAATCGTCTCAAGTCCTCACTCGATTGCGAACACCCACCCCCCACATACAAAACAGGCTTCTTTGACTCAGAAATAAGCCTAACAATTTGTTCTAAAAGCATCTCATTGGGCAATTTAGGTAACCTAGACATGTAACCAGGCAACCTCATTGGCTGATCCCAGTCAGGTATCACCAATTGTTGCTGAATATCCTTAGGTACATCAATCAAAACAGGGCCAGGCCGGCCCGATCTCGCAAGGAAAAAAGCCTCACGTACAACCCTAGGAATATCCTCTACGTCCATAACGAGATAATTATGCTTGGTAATCGATCTAGTTACCTCAACAATCGGAGTTTCCTGAAAAGCATCAGTACCGATCATCCTACGTGGCACTTGACCGGTTATAGCAACAATGGGGACGCTATCCAGTAGGGCGTCCGCGAGGCCACTGACGAGATTGGTGGCGCCAGGGCCGGAGGTGGCAATGCAAACGCCGGGGAAGCCGGTGGCGCGTGCGTAACCCTCAGCGGCGAAGACACCACCCTGCTCGTGACGTGGTAGCACGTTGCGGATGATGCTTGAGCGCGTCAAAGCTTGGTGAATCTCCATGGAAGCGCCGCCTGGGTACGCAAAAACGTCCGTAACCCCTTCTCTTTCGAGGGCCTCCACGAGAACGTCGGAACCCTTTCTGGGTTCGTCAGGGGCAAAACGGGAAACGAAAGTTTCGGCTTTTTGGGTCTCGGAAACTTTTTGGGTAGTGGAAATGACATTGNAGGACGATAGGGTTTTGGAGAAAGAGGGAGATGGAGCCGCCGCAGCCGCCGCCATTATTGTTGAATGAGAGCAGTGAGAGACGAAACTGAAAGGAAAGGGCAATGTAGATGGTGTGTGGTTGGTTTTATATTAAGCTGAGAAGACGAGAGCGCCACGAAACTGAAAGGGTCCTACTTGATTGAATTCACGTGAATAGCGAAAATGGATGAGAACAAATGGAAGAGAGATCAAAATATGAAGAAAATAAATAGAAAAGAAAGATTAAAATGTCTGAGAATTGGGGAAAAGAAAAATGAGATGTTGGATATATTTAGGAGGGTGGGAAGAAGAAAGAAGTGGAAGTATTTGTTACTTCAGTAAATTAAAATATAAAAGGGAAAAAAGACTATGGAAAAAGAATGTGAATGCTGTTATGAAATATAGCTCAAAGTAACAATATAGAACAAAAAAAAAACAAGCTAAGAAATATAGAGATAAGAGATTTTTATTTCTTCTTCAATTATTTGTATTTTTCTATCTATTACAAGGCCTTTATATAGGCATGAAAAGTGAAGAAAAATATGTCATTAAGCATAGAAATATGTCATTGAATATGTCATTAAGCATTTGAGAAGATCATGGAGGAAGAGTAGACATCCACCATAATTTGATTTTTCTTATAACACTCCCCCTTGGATGTCCATAGATAATGTGCCTCGTTAAAACCTTATTAGGAAAAAATCATATAGGAAAAAAATCCTAGTGAAGGAAAAAAAGTACACATGTTTAGAAATACGCCTTTTGGTTGCCTCGTTAAAAACCTTGCAAGAAAAACCCAGTGGGTCAAAATCTTGTAAGGAAAAAAGAGTACAACACGTATTAACTCCCCCTGATGAGAGTATCAATTCACATCCTTGAGCCTTCACATCCCAATCTTGTACACTAGTTTCTTGAAGGTTGACATCGGTAGAGATTTGGTGAATAAATCAGCCATATTATAACTAGAACGGATCTGTTGCACATTGATATCACCATTCTTTTGAAGATCATGTGTGAAAAATAACCCTGGTGAAATTTGCTTTGTCCTATCCCGTTTTATGAATCCTCCCTTCAATTGGGCTATGCATGCTGCATTGTCTTCATATAAAACTGTGGGTAGTTTGTCACACTTCAAACCACATTTGTCTCGAATAAGGTGTATTATAGACCTCAATCATACACATTCTCGACTTGCTTCATGAATAACAATTATCTCAGCATGATTAGATGAAGTATCCACGAATGATTGCTTAGTCGATCGCCAAGATATGGCAGTGCCTCCATATGTAAACACATAGCCTGTTTGAGATTGAGCCTTATGTGGGCCAGATAAATATCCAGTATCGGCATAACCAACAAGATCGGGACTATAATCATTGCCATAAAATAATCCCATATCGGTAGTCCTTTTTAGATACCGCAATATGTGTTTGATTCCATTCCAATGTCTCCTTCTAGGAGCAGAGTTATATCTTGTTAAGACATTAATTAAAAAAGTTATGTCAAACCTTGTAATGTTAGAAAGATACGTTAGTGAACTAATTGCACTAAGATATGGTACTTCGGGACCAAGAAG